AATGCATATAATAAAATTCAACATCTCTTTTTCTGGCAACCAGGGTTAGTGAACCAAGGTCATGAGGATAGGTCCTTAACACAAAATACGGAAACGAGAGACGGGCACATTCAGTGTCACCTCTAGAGAAGAACCTTTGTTTTGTTCGCTGTATTATCCCCAGCCCCTGGAACAGAGCCCACCACAGAGAAAGCACTAACTTTCTGTATAAGTGAATGAACAAGTATACGAACTACAGTCACTATCACTAAAATCAAGAACAAACTGCCTATCATTCCTACTTACTGAACACTGAAACACTATTAAAAGCATTTCTAAAAATGTTTAAATCTCAGGATCTCTTTATACTCTTATCAAGTATATTACTAAGAATCCCAAAGATTTTGTTTATGTGGGTTACAGCTATGGATACATACCACACTGGAAACTAAAACTGAGAAATTTAAAAAACATTTATTAATCCCTTTAAAAATAATAATAATAAGCCCATTACATGTTAATATAAATAACATGCTTTTAAGAAAAATAACTATTTCCTCAAGACAAATTTGAGAGGGTGGCACTATTTCTATACCTCTGCAAACATCTTTGGTATACACTTTAACAGACACCAGTTGAACTCTCATATATGCTTCTATATTGAATCTGTTGTGATGTGTTGTTTTAGTTGAAAAATAAGAAAATCTGGCTTCATACAGATTGGCAGTTAAAAAAGAAAGCAATATTTTAATATCCTTTTCAGGTACTTGTAGATAATCCTTTTTGAAACTACAGCAAAATTTGAAAAGCTGTAGACTTTTTTTAAACTGAAGTAGAGCTGGTTTACAATATTGTGTTAATTTCAAGCATCTATAACTGACTCAGAAATTTTATAGATTATACCTCACAATACATTAGTTATATTCCCTGAGCTGTACACTACCCTTATAGCTTACTTGTTTTACACAAAGTAGTTTGTTCCTCTTAATTCCTTATTCCTATTTTGCCCCTGGGAAGATCCCCTGGAGGAGGGCATGGCAACCCACTTCAGTATTCTTGCCTAGAGAATCCCATGGACAGAAGAACTTGGCAGCCTACAGTCCATGGGGTCGCAAAGAGTCGGACACAACTGAAGCGACTTAGTACACACACATTGTTTCGCTTCCCCTTCCCTTTCTCTGTCCCCACTGTATCTGTGGGGAGATATGGTAACCACTATATCTGTAGGCATGTTTCTGTTTTGTTATACTCGTCCATTTATTTTTTAGACTCCACATATAAGTGATAAAATGCAGTACTTGTCTTCCTCTGTCTATTTCACTAAATATAATATCCTCTGGGCCCATCCATGATGTTGCAAATGACAAATTTGTCATTCTCTTTTTCATGGCTGAGTAGTATTCCGTGTGTGTGGTGTGTGTGTGTGTGTGTACATACACTTCACATCTTCTTTATCCATTCATCTATGGATCGATATCTTAGGTAGCTTTCATATCTTGGCTATGTAAATAATGCCATGAACACTGAGGTACATGTTATCTTTTTCAATTAGTGTTCTCTTTGGATATATTGCCGGTTTTGTATGGTAAATCTAAGTTTTTTGAGGAAAAGTGGTAGATTCTTAAAGATTGGTTGCAGTATGGAATCTGAAATCTTACTACTGAACTTCTGATACTAAACTACATTAAAAGCCACTGGTTAGTTGTGCTTTTGCCCAGGATGCAGAAAGCTGGAAAGAGTGTTGCCCTTAAATTAATAATGAGAAAAAAAATAGAGCAAAATCAAAACTTCTCTGAACCCAGCAGAGAACTGAAGGCAAAAGTCTCCTGAAATCAAGAAGAGATGGGGATACCCCAGTGGCTAAGAATCCAGGCTCCCAATGCAGGGGGCCTGGGTTTGATCCATGGTCAGGAAGTAGATCCCACATGCTGCAACTAAAGATTTGCATGCCCCAATGAAGACAGAAGATCTCGTGTGTCGCAACTAAGATTTGGAGTAGCCACATAAATAAATTAGAAAAAAAAGAAGTTTCTTACAATTAAAGCTGTACAAAACTGGAACCAATGGTCCTGCAAAATAACAAAATAGTGAGCTGCCCATCACTGCAAGTATCCAAGCAGAAGCAGGATAATGAAATGTCAGAGATATCATAGAAAGGATTCCTGAACTGGGTGGGAGGTGGTTCTACAATGATCTTATATGCTTCTTCCAAATCAAATTTTGAGTGAGCAGAGCTGAAGATGGCAATAATTTTCTTCTCCTCCCAAACTTTAGTCTTGCTTTGGTGCAATAGTTACATTATAGACAAGCTCCACACAAGAGACTGAAGGAAGTCCTGGGACTGATCCTCTCTTGATGATTCTTAGTGAACTGACTAGGAACTGATCAAAGTCTGGCTAGTCTTGAAATTTCACATGCAAACTTTTTCTTCTAACCCACTCCTCTAGTCACCTCTCTTTCTACCTCTGTTCAAGCTGTCCATTTCAATTCTTGGGAAGTTGTATAAGTTAATTTTCAAAGCATACTGGCTCACGTGCTTACTGTGTTGACTCATCTCATCCACAAAGTTTCAAACATGTGGGTATTTAATTAAAGCTTTTGCCTAATGATTTCAACAGATAAAAATTGGGAGAATTCTGAGCTGTATTAGCTTCGTATGAGCACATTCTGGTTAGAAAAGGTCATGGACTAGACCACTTCAAGTCCGCCCACCTAGGAGGTGGTCGACATGGAAGGCTCTCCCACATGCGCAGCAGAGTGCTAACCAGGAGGTAGGCGTTTCAGAAATGTCAGGAGACTAAAGAAACTGCCTTGCTCTGTCTTCAATTGCCAAATCGCTTCCTCTCCACAAATAACTTTGGAGTCAGAAACACTGATTTCCAGAAGGACCTTTTCTGCAAAAGATATCTTTGAAGACACCATGAATGTGAAGTCAACACTTTCCTCCTATTTACAAAGATGACAAAGCATAGCTGTAATGGGTGCACACAATCAAGAGGAAATGAATGAAAGGAAAACTTTCTTTTGTCCACATTTCTGCTCTCCCCTTCTGAGTGTTCCCTCGAAACTTCGGAAACAAGTTTTCTGAGGGCAGACTTTCCTCTGTTCCAGAGAAGAGGGAACCGAGGACTCTTGACCTATAAAGCCTAATGTTTTGGAACATCTGTAATTCTCCTGAGTCCATGCCAGTCAGATGGAGCCTCTCTTCAGCAAACCACTGGCCCGTGGGTCTGGACACTAAGGCTTTTTCACTTCTACGAGTTGACAAGGATAGGACTCAAAAGCTCTCTGGAAAAAAAAAAAGTCTCTCCTTCAGCTTGCATTACAAACTGTTGGAAAACACAGATGGAGGGGATGACAGGAAAAGCAATTACTTCTCCTGGGCTTCCTTTCTGTCTGGATTCTAAGGAGACGAACACGAAATTCCATCACAGATTGAAATGCTATCTAAACATTCTTGAAAATGTGGCGCTGCTCTCTGAAATATGACCTGCCTTGCTGCAGCAACCTATTAATAAGTGAAGGTGGAGAGGGCCGACTCTCCTCCAGGCCATCTACCTCAGGGCCTGACTCTTCAAGACCGCCTGTTTGTCATCACAGGTTAAAACATAAATAACTGAAAGGTACAATATCTACTCAGCATGACCCAGCAAAAACTCCTGATGAATGATTCACTTTATTTTCACATTCTTAAAACTGTAAATACCTGAGAATCTCTAAAGTATTTCAGGATTTCTAGTGAGCCTTTCTAAATATAGGTGGAAACACGCTAAACAGCAGTATTATTATTTTAAATGGTAGATAGCCGGGACTAGTCAAGCACCAGTCAAGCTTTAAACGTCTTTAAAGGGACACACACACTGGTCCCAGTGATGTTTTCTGGTAGAGGGCTTTTGTTTATTTACAAATACTAGATAATCTTCCACAGACCAAATATTTTATACAGTTGAATAAAATGTTATGGCAGGTGGACTTTGCATGCTGAGAAACGCCAAGATGAGAAAGATACTGTTCTGGTTTCAAGAAGCTTACACACTAGCCAAAGGGACAAGATGTGTTCACTGTAAGTCAGAAAAGCAGGGGCCAGGGTCTGTGGGAGTTTGAGGGCAGAAAGATTCTACCTCTAACTGATGGCTGCTGGGATCGACTTTCTCATCTATGAAATGAGAAGAGTGGACCAGATGAGTTTCAAGTCCCCTCTGGACTTGGATTTCTAATATTCTGATTCCTTTGGTATATCAGTTGAGAGGAACAAAAATTTCATAAAAGTAGTAGTATCTGAGCTGGGTAAGATTTCAGAATGGAGCTACTGGGAGAAAAAAAGGAGAACGTGACTTTTAGGCAAAAAGAAGAAAAGAACATAAGCACTGGTGGCTCAGGAGGTAAAGAATCTGCCTACAATGCAGGAGACCAGGGTTTGATCCCTGGGTTGGCAAGATCCCCTGGAGAAAGGAATGGCAACCCACTCTAGTACCCTTGCCTGGAAAATTCCACGGACAGAGGAGCCTGGAGGGCTACAGTCCATGGGGTCGCAAAGAGTCAGACAGGACTGAGTGGCTAACACTTACCCACACTTACTTACTTACTCAAGCATAAAGCGTGGGACATGCTTGGAGAGTACGAGGCTTTCAGTGTGGACAGATCACAGCAGGAGACAAAACACGACCAGAACTAAATCAGAAAGTGAAAGAGCAGGATGCAGGCTCAGAGATACCCGCCACCCAGCAGGAAGACAGGGACACCTCCGTCCTCTCATTTCAGTGCGCCTTCCGGCCTGGCCCTGGGGAGCTGTGCTGCCAGGCACGGCTTCTGCTCTAAGGCATGCTGAGTGACAGCTCATGGCTGCTCTGGGCAGCCCATCTCTGCCAGTAGCGGGATGAGTCTGCAAGCTTCCTGCTGTATATGGGACAGATCAGTAAGAAAGTGCTCTGTAAGCAGGCAGATCAATATTCTGGTCAGTTGGCTGTGGGGTCTTGAAGAAATCAGAGGATATAATGAACATGGAGGAATATGTTACTTACTTGCCTGCCATCCTGTCCCACATTTGTTTGACCTCTTACAACAGTTCGAATGTTGTCATCCAGTCTCCTAGCAAAAAAGTGTTAAAGGACATAAATCATTAAAATAATCTCGATTCCAGGTTGACCGAAAGAAAACACTAGGAACTTTTCCTCAGTTTCTACAGACTGCAGCTAACTTATTCAGAAAAAAACCAAAGAAGTTTGGATGATCCAAAGAAGACTAAAGCCCTGGACCCCAGTGAGGGGGCAGCAAAAGTAGTGTAAGAAGCTAAACCCAGCACAGACTGATGAGTCATCTTTGTTCTTTTTTCTTAAAGGTTATTTTTATTTAATGTTCAGAGCTGGTCAAAGCGACCAATATAACTTGTAATACTTTTCATGGAATAAACCAGAAATGACAAAGTTGCTGAAACTTTATGGGAACAAGCCAGAGAATTCAAGTTATCCCACACAAAAACCTTCCTCAGTAACACCCTTAAAAGATATAAGGAGCAAGGTGATACGTGAAATCCGTGCTTTGTTGCCTGGGCCTTGACCACAGGAGGCAGATCTGCAGCCTCCACTTCCTCTTTCTCCTACAGCTGAACAGAGGCCATTTAATGGTACTCAACCAGAAAAATTTATATCAGTCAGTTTCATCCTTCATTTGAAGAAGCCATTAGAAAAAAAAAAAAAAGTTCGGTGGGAGAAGCTGAAAATAACTGGCTCATAAGTGATTTTTAGATCACTGGGGAATTTTCATTTTCTGTGCAAACCCTGGACAACTTAGTGGTCTCTACTAGAACTGTTAGAGTTAAAGTCAGCCCAAACAGTAAACAGGCTTCTTTGCACTTTTTTAGGTACTCAACTGAACAAAATATTAATGGCAGAGGTCTTTACCTGAAAACCCAAAGGCTGTCTGGGAAAAAAAAATCATCGCTTGGATTCAAAATGAAGGTTTCTCCTCATCAAAAGTTAAACAGCAACAACAAAAACTATTTAAAGTTATGACATCAACCATTACAGTAATAATCACAAAGAACAAACTTTGAGTATCTACCATGTGTCAAAACTGGAAATTTAGACATGGATAAACCAGAATAAGACTATCTGGCCAGGAAGGGACATTTGCTGACCACCCTAGACATCCTGGATTAATCACAATGTGTAATAATCAGCCACCACTCACACCAATCAGCATATCTGACCACGCTGTTAGCTGATAAGTGGCCAATGGATAAAAATAAGTCCATCCTCATTTCTAAGCCTTGGGAAAATTAAAAAAGGGCAGGTCTGCTAGGGAAATAGAGCCATTAAAAATACAGCAATGCTTTTGCCTCCTTTTATAATCAACTGTTCTAAATGGCCTGTTACAGATTCCTTTTTTAAAAAAATAAATAATTGAAGATGATCAAAGAATTGAGCTCTCTGCCACAAGGCTCATATGGAAACCCAGATAAAAGAACTATTCTTTTAAAAATTACCATCTTACAGAGAACCTGAGATTTCAGTGTTCTCACAGGTAAGGGTGATCATTATTAATAATCACATGGTGTTGGGCTTCCCTGGTGGCTCAGTGGTAAAGAATTCTCCTGCCAATGCAGGAGACATGGGTTCAGTGCCTGAACTGGGAAGATCCCACATGCCGAGGAGCAACTAAGCCTGTGAGCCGCAGCTACTGAGCCTGTGCTCCAGAGCCCACGAGCCGCGACCACTGAGCCCATGTACCACACCCACTGAAGCCTGAAGGCCCCAGACCTCACGCCCCGCAACAAGCCACTGCAGTGAGAAGCCTGCACACCACAGCTAGAGAGCAGCCCCCATTTGCCACAACTGAAGAAGAGCCCAGGCAGCAACAAAGACCCAGCAGGTCCATTAATAAATAAAGTGGGAAAAAAAATAATCCCATGACGTTACTTACCTTATTTTCAGCCTAATTTTGTTCACGACTTCATCAATGTTTGCCAGAGACTACAACAGAGAAGGAAAAGTGCCAGCTATTATTTCACTTCCTGGAATTCCTCATTCACAAAGAAATGATGAACTATTTAAATGGTTATTTTATATATATATATATATATAAAATGGCTATTTATGACATCTCAAAGAAACTAATCATACAGTACAATTTTTACTTAAAAGAAAAAAAAGTATAGAGAATTCCCTAGTGGTCCAGTGGTTAGGACTCAGAACTTCCACTGCCGGGGTCCAGGTTCAATCCCTGGTTGGGGAATTAAGAGATCCCAAACTGCGTGGTGTGGCGGGGGTAGACGGGGAAGTATAACAATAGTTGACAACAACTGCAAAATCCATTCTGGAATCTATCTTTTGCTAATAAAATTTACTGGAAAACAGCCATGTCCATTCATTTACATATTATCTACAGCAGCCTCTGAGCTGCAAAGACAGAGCTGAGTAGCAGCTCCAACTAAGACTGAAAAATCCACAAAGCCTAAAATTACTATCTAGCCCTTTATAGGAAATTTGCTGATCCCTGCTATAAAGGAACACGACAAATTCATTCACCAAAATCCTCAGGACCACAACAATGAATGAATGATTACAACACACAACATAGATCAATCCTATAACGTTATGTTGTGTGAGCACACATACACACACCAAACACAAGAGTGTATATTGTATTTCATTATGTAGTTCAGAAGAAGTGAGTGAAACTGTTCTGCACTAGAAGCCAGGACAGTGGTTAACTGTGGGGGAGGCAGTGACAGGGAGGGACAAGAAGGAGTTATGAGAAGAGATTTTACTAATGTTTTATTTCTTGGTCTGGGTGGTGGTTATCTGACTTTGTGCATTTGGTGAAAATTCATCAAGTTGTACACTTACAATCTGTGTATTCCTCCACATTATGTTCCATGTCAACAAATAAATTTTTTTTCCCTAAGTGTCTCGGTCCATTAGAAAAAAGTCTGGAAGAATAAATACTAGTAGTTGGACTCGATACTAATAACTGCTGCTGCTGCTAAGTTGCTTCAGTTGTGTCCGACTCTGGGCGACCCCACAGACGGCAGCCCACCAGGCTCCCCCGTCCCTGGGGTTCTCCAGGCAAGAACACTGGAGTGGGTTGCCATTTCCTTCTCTAATGCATGAAAGTGAAAAGTGAAAGTGAAGTCGCTCAGTCGTGTCTGACTCTTCGAGACCCCATGGACCCCAGCCCACCAGGCTCCTCCGTCCATTGGATCCTCCAGGCGAGAGTACTGGAGTGGGGTTGCCAGTTCCATCTCCTACTAGTAACTATAACCTATGAAATCACTTGCAGTAGCTGTAATTTATGAAAAAGAGGGGTTTGAACTTTTTCTTCTTTTTGCCTATGGGTATTTTCTAATTGCTGTATACTGACAATGTACTGCAATTATAATAAAGCTATTTCTATGTCTAAGACAATCACAGTAAAATCAAACGGATAAGAATCAATTTAGTGAGCTGAAAACATAAAGAAAGGGTGCCCCCTAGTGAAGTAGAGGCGGTACAATTTTATAGCACCGTTTTAACTGAAGTTTCAGAATGTAGCTTTGTGAGTCCTCTTTCTCCTCTGATAGATATTTTACCTCAGAAGGAATTGGGGGTGATGCAGGAACTGCGCTTATAAACTGCCACCGGCAACCTGTGCTGGGAGGAGGAAGCAGGAGCCTGCCGGGCGCAGGTCTAGCAAGAGAACCACATTACATAAAGCAAGATGAAATCTTGCCACTGACCACAGGACGCACGGACCTTGAGAGTATTATCCTAAGTGAAGTAAGTCAGACAAACACAAATACCATATGATTTCACTCCTGTGTGAAATACGAGAAACAAACAACAACAAAAACAAAAATAAATGAACAAGCCAAATGAAAACAAACAGGCAGATACAGAGAGCAGAGTGGCGGTTGCCAGAGAGGGAAGGGCAGCAAAACGGGTGGAAGGGACCAGCGGTCGGCGGCAGGAACCGAGCTCGTGGCGGCGAGTGTGCTCAAGGGCACAGGGAAGCAGAAGCACAGTGCTGCAGATGTGAAACTTACATAGTGTCGGAAACTAATGTCGCCTCAGTAAAAGAAAAAACTTTGAAAAAATGATAAAATGAATATATCACTATTATGCAGTAAGTGTTTTCTTTGGGAAACAGAGAGAGAGAAACCAAGTCACAGGTGTTTGAGGTATCAGACAGGACCATTCATATCTGATCTACTGTTCTGACAAAGCCAAGGGTGACTTGGAACTTTCAGAAATCCAAGAAGAGACTGAGGTGAAGATGAATCTCAAAAAAGAGAAGTTATTTTATTTTTTTAACATTTTGATAGAATTGTGTTTTTTTTGGTCATATCCTTCAGAATAAAAATGTTCAATAAATATACACAGTGGGATTATGGACTGCAATGAACAGAAAGCTTTTTTTCATTTTTGCCAGGTCTCACTTTTTTTTATTTTTTAAATTATGAACATATGACAACACATTTACAGGAGATTTGGAAAATACAGAACAAAGTTACATACAGTTCTACCATATATTACAATTATTTTTTAAGCAGATAAATTAAGATTTTTATTTTTCATTTATTTTTATTAGTTGGAGGCTAATTACTTTACAATATTGTAGTGGGTTTTGTCATACATTGACATGAATCAGCCATGGAGTTACATGTATTCCCCATCCCGATCCCCCCTCCCACCTCCCTCTCTACCCAATTCCTCTGAGTCTGCCCAGTGCACCAGGCCCGAGCACTTGTCTCATGCATCCAACCTGGGCTGGTGATCTGTTTCACTATAGATAATATACATGTTTCGATGCTGTTAAATTAAGATTTTTAGTTAAGAGTTTCAATATCAAACTCTCAAAAATTAATAGAATGAATATACAGAGAAGCAGAAGTATACAGCAGACCTGAAAAGCACTATGAACCAATTCAATATAATTAAGATTTATACCATCTTCACACAACAGTAGGATACAAATTCTATTCAAGTTCCCACAGACTATAAACTAGGAGACATCAGAACATATACAGGGACACAAGACCAGGTGCAAAAATTTCATGGTCTTACGTTATTGCAATCATACAGAGTCTGTTCAAAGAGAAGTTATTTTAACTGAAGAATCCACTGCCATCTGTTATTTCAAAACCGGACTAGGGACAAATCATCACTGTGGTAACAGGAGCTCAGTCACTGGAGGAGCTGGCATGACTCTGCCCCTGCCAACCTGCTGAAAGGATACAGGGTAAACTGTTTAACCTCACTGAGTTTCTGTTTCCTCAGGTGCAAAATGGGCAAAACAGTTCCTGCCTTCCTAATCTCTGCTGGAACTCATTCCTTTAGGAAAAAAAAACTGGGGAGCATTTAAAATATTAACATTTGGGGACTCTGTGAGAAGGGGAGCCATGAATTCTCTGTACTATTCTTGCACCTTTTATAAAAATGGGAAGTTATATCAAATATTTAAAATTGTAACCTATTTAAAGTTGGTAAAACACATACATAACCCAGAATTCAAACAGCAGAAGATAAAGAAGGTAAATAGTGAAAAGTAAGGCTTCCTCTTCCCCTGCCTGCCTTCCATTCTCCTCCTCTGAAGCAATACCTCTGAGTGAGTTTTTGTTGCACCTTCTCAGAAATGATCTAGGTATTAAAAGCATATAGTAACCGACCAGCTCTTCTGTATCTAAGGCACACTGTCCCATACCATGCTTTTTTCATTTAACAATTTAACTAGGAGGTCTTTCCACATCAGTTAATATTAATTTTTGGTGGTACAGTAACTGTTTCTTAAATGTAATACTCCCTAGACATTAAGGTCTTGCTTAAGCCATAATAATCTAAGAAGTACTCAAAATATTTACACCTTCAGATGACCTACTGCATTTAATTTAAAAGAGCAAAAAACCTGGCAATGACCTAAATGGCCATCAATAGGAAAGTTAAGTAAATAAGCTACATTTACTCAAAGAACTCTTACACCAAAACTAAAGACGATGAGCAGGGAGGTTTTGAGACAACAAAGCCTCTTCTTAATGATAACATGCTAACAAGGGGGAAACATTTAAAAATATTGAGTACCCCATGAATACAGCAAGAAACAGACCAGTAAGAAATCTCCTAAATTATAACACTTGCTTGCATGTTAAGTGGACCCATGGAAGATAATTACTTTATCTTCCAGATTTTCTCTGGGGAAGAACAAGGGAAAGAATGCTAACATTCAATGTGGATCTGTTAGGCAATGCTCTTCCAGATGTTTTCCAGAAGTTACTTCCATTAATCCTCTCAACTAGATTGGTTTTCTCTTTAATGTAAAGAATGAGCTCTGAGGACTTCCCTGGCGGTCCTGTAGTTAAGACTCTGTGTGCTTCCAATGCAGGGGTCGAGGGTTTGATCCCTAATCGGGGAACTAAGATACCACATGCCTCGCGGCATAGCCCTCCCCACAAAAAAAAAAAGGGCTCTGAGTGGATGGATGGTTTGTCCAAGGTCAGAGATACAAGATTCAGCCCAGCTGGACATGGTTGGGGTCTGTCTGCCTCCTGGGTCTCCACTCCTATTACTCTACCAGGCGACCGCTAATACGATGGCTCTTGACCTACTCTGTGCACACCCCAACACACCTGACGGATGTGTCATAATCTGCGCCATCAGTCTGGGGCCTTGAGTCTCACTGTGGCAGTTGTTCTCACTGGGGTTGAAGGCCTCTCCTGGAACTGGGAAAACACCCCATAGGAATCCAGACTGGCAACCCAGGGTGAAGGGGATAACATCTCGTGTCTGAGAAACACCCATCTAGTTCAGCTGTGATGTGGCTTTAATTGTATCATTTAAAAATGTTTAAATTATTGAAAAGTATTTCCTGATTCTAATGGCGATTCTTGCCAATTACAGAAAATACATAATATCCGCCTGTGCCCCCAATTGAGTACAATCACCATTAGCATTTTGGTCCACTACCCTCTACTGTTCCTTCTCTGTAAATAGAAGAGCTTTAAAAAAAAAAAGAAAGAAACAGGGATGATAAGCAATTTGGCATCTTATTTTTTCTCACTTAATGACACAGATGCAGAGCATTTGGGGAGCCATTAGAAATTATTTAACAACAGCTCCCTATGGGGCTTCCGTGGTGGCTTGGGAATCTGCCTGCCAATGCAGGAGACACAGGTTCAAACCCTGATCCAGGAAGATCCCACAAGCAGCAGAGCCACTAAGGGCATGCGCCACAGCTATCGAGCCTGTGCTCTAGAGCCTGGGTGCCACAGCTACGAGTCCTCACTGCAAACACGGAAGCCTGTGCATCCGAGAGCCTGGGCTCCACAACAAACAGAAGCCACCACACTGAGAAGCCTGTGCACTGCAGCTGAAGAAGGGCCCCCACTCTTCACAACTAGAGAAAAGCCCGCATAGCAACGAAGATACAGCACAGCCAAAAAATAAATAATTTTGAAAAAGCCACAGCTCCCTATGGCTCTTTTTCTCAAAGTTTATATTGTGAGTGAAATTGTGAGTTTATATTGCTCAGTCTGTCCAACTCTTTGCGACCCCATAGACTATACAGTCCATGGAATTCTCCAGGCCATAATATAGGAGTGGGTAGCCGTTCCTTTCTCCAGGGGATCTTCCCAACCCAGAGACTGAACCCAGGTCTCCCAGGCAGGCGGATTCTTTACCAGCTAATCCACAAGGGAAGCCCCCTAATTATATTAGTCTTTAATAAATGTTATCCAGATTCCCCTCATCAAACCTCTAATGGAAACATGAGAAATGATCATCTTCAGTTTTCTACTAGGAGACTAGGAAGATTTTCTAGATCATTACCAAACCTGGCTATGTGTCAGAACCTACCCAGGGAGCCCTGGTAAATACAGAAACCTGAGCTCTTCCCACCTGGACCTGGTGAGTTAGAAACATCCAGGATCTGTTCCAGTCCACCCTCCTACCTTGAGGTAACCCAAGACCCACAAGCAGCTGCCATTCAAGACAAACATGTATACACCCTCCACCTTAGAGTGTCACTAAATTTATTCTTGATATATTGACATCTACTTTAAATAGTCTAAACTCATAATTCACAAGTATTTACTGCATGTCCATGATATATATAGATGGATTTTGCCCAAGATCTAGCAATAGTTGAAAGAAATGATAAACCATGCTATTACATTCTATTATCTTTCAATTAAGGTCCATGGGAATCTGGGTTGGAAAATGGTGAAAATCTGGGGTTGGGGAAATAAAGGTACCCCCGTGTCATAAATTTTCTGAATTGTAAAGAAACTTTACGAATACATTATCACGGATATGGGGGATATAATTAGACAAGACATATAACTGAATCTGCAGAACGACTAATGTCTTATGTGTCTTCAGTGGTTTAAAAACCCACAAGCACTTATCAGGAAGAGGGGAGAACCTGATGGTTCCCTATATACATAATTTTCAAATCTAACAATTTGCTTTGGTAAGTCAGCTGTCTTGATAGGTTGGGGTAAATGAAATATCTCTGTAGCTTAAACTGCTATCTTTATACCTCAGTTCAGTTCAGTCATTCAGTCGTGTCAGACTCTTTGCGACCCCATGAATCACAGCACACCAGGCCTCCCTGTCCATCACCAACTCCCGGAGTTTACTCAAACTCATGTCCATCGAGTCGGTGATTCCATCCAGCCATCTCTCCTCTGTTGTCCCCTTCTCCTCCTGCCCCCAACCCCTCCCAGCATCAGGGTCTTTTCCAATAAGTCAACTCTTCGCATGAGGTGGCCAAAGTACTGGAGTTTCAGCTTCAGCATCAGTCCTTCCAATGAACACCCAGGACTTATCTCCTTCAGGATGGACTGGTTGGATCTCCTTGCAGTCCAAGGGACTCTCAAGAGTCTTCTTCAACACCACAGTTCAAAAGCATCAATTCTTTGGCGCTCAGCTTTCTTCACAGTCCAACTCTCATATCCATATATGACCACTGGAAAAACCATAGCCTTGACCAGACAGACCTTTGTTGGCAAAGTAATGTCTCTGCTTTTTAATATGCTATCTAGGTTGGTCATAACTTTCCTTCCAAGGAGTAAGCATCTTTTAATTTCATGGCTGCAGTGATTTTGGAGCCCCAAAAAATAAAAGTCTGACACTGCTTCCCCATCTATTTCCCATGAAGTGATGGGACCAGATGCCATGATCTGAGTTTTCTGAATGTTGAGCTTTAAGCCAACTTTTTCACTCTACTCTTTCACTTTCATCAAGAGGTTTCTTAGTTCCTCTTCACTTTCTGCCATAAGGGTGGTGTCATCTGCATATCTGAGGTTATTGATATTTCTCCCAGCAATCTTGATTCCAGCTTGTACTTCTTCCACCCCAGCGTTTCTCATGATGTACTCTGCACATAAGTTAAATAAGCAGGGTGACAATATACAGACTTGACATACTCCTTTTCCTATTTGGAACCAGTCTGTTGTTCCATGTCCAGTTCGAACTGTTGCTTCCTGACCTGCATATAGGTTTCTCAAGAGGTGGGTCAGGTGGTCTGGTATTCCCATCTCTTTCAGAATTTTCCACAGTTTATTGTGATCCACACAGTCAAAGGCTTTGGCATAGTCAATAAAGCAGAAATAGATGTTTTTCTGGAACTCTTGCTTTTTCAATGATCCAGCAGATGTTGGCAATTTGATCTCTGCCTTTTCTAAAACCAGCTTGAGCATATGGAAGTTCACGGTTCATGTATTGCTGAAGCCTGGCTTGGAGAATTTTGAGCATTACTTTACTAGCATGTGAGATGAGTGCAACTGTGCAGTAGTTTGAGCATTCTTTGGCATTGCCTTTCTTTGGGATTGGAATGAAAACTGAACTTTTCCAGTCCTGTGGACACTGCTGAGTTTTCCAAATTATACCTACTTGATTCCAAATTTCCATCTCCAGCTAATTCCTAGAATTCCTCTTTCATGAGAAAATTATGAACTCTAGGGAATTCCCTGATGGTCCAGTGGTTGGAACTTGGTACTTTCACTGCTGGGGTCCAGGGAACTAAGATCCCACAAGCCACATAGCGCAGCTCCCCTCTGCTGCCAACCCCTCCAAAAAAGAGCTCTAAAGGCTGCTTTTGAAATCTCAAAAAGGACAATCACACAGTATGATACCCTTTTTTCCAACTTTATTTTAAAAATTAGCATGTTCATCAGAAAAAGTTTGGAAAGATCTATGCCAAAATACTAACAGTTATGGGGATTATGAGCTTCAGACTCAAATATCCAACTATGTATTTCTACCTGGATGGCCCAAATATGTCCAAAACTGAGTTCACCTTAACACACTACTCCTATCCTACTCACCACTACAACTGTCAGTGGTATAAGTAAGGCTCTTCCTCCTTACTCACAACACAGGATAAAGGTGCCAACACCCAACTACAGTCTGGTGGGCTGGAAATCAAAGTTCTGAAATTTACATCTTGAAACAGGAATAAAAGTAGCTTTCTAACTCCAAGCTTATCCTACACACCTCACTCCCATTTTCTTCTATTACATCTGAAAAATCCTTTCTACTTCCCGATTTACTACAGAAAATCTGGGGGAGAAGGGAACGAGATGGACTCTTTCAACCTAAGGGTACAATTTCTAATATGCTCGCTACACAGAGAATTCCACTGACACAACAACAGTATTTGGTATTAGCTAACCGCCTCCCAAAACTGGTTATGAAAGAGTCTGACTTGAATTTAACTCTTATTTGTTTATCAAGGTCCCTTAGGTTATATAGTATAGCAAACTAATCATTAATACTCAGAATGTTCCAGAAGCCATTTCAGGGAATGCAGCACTTACTTGTTCTGTTGGGAACAGGGTGTTGATATACTCCACAGCATTGAAATCTGCTCGATCTAGAGGATCCTGGCTTGGAAATACCTACATAAAGAGAGAGAATTAAAAAATCACCATCATTTTCCTGTCCTGTTTTATGTATTCTTTCCTTCCTATTGGTTGGTAAGTTCTTTGAAAGCAAAGTCTGTATCTTTTTTTCATTTTGCAAGGCCCAACAACCAATGCTCAGTAAAATATCTGGTAAAGTATATCTATAATTTTCACCAGCATCTGTAGTTTTAACATCTTAGTAAAACTAATAGAATATGCAACAGTAGGAAGTATTCAGACAGCCGCAAAATCCCAAGGACAAGGTAAAATAAGCGAGTATTATACACCAGCAGATTAAGCCAGTTGATGACATGGTTGTATTAAGGGAATCTTGATAATGGACTAATGCATCATGTCTCAACGATGTCTCAGCAGTAGAATTCACTATGCACCGAAGCAATTTTTATCCTTCGGACAGTGTTAGGAAATGGAGCTCTGGCATTCAGGAACTGTCCATCTCTTTTATAGGAGAAAGAATACCTCTGCATTCAGAGAAATACAGATAACTCCCTTAAAACATTGCAATCTGAAGAACATGTAACACGGTGGATTATAAAAACAGTCAAGTAATCCCTGGGCACTGGATTTCACTAGCTCAAGGCAGTTATTCTGGGAAGTGAATTTTTTTTTACATGTCTGCTTATTGGACAAATCTATGCTAGAATTCAATCATACTAAGAAAAGGGGGCGGGGGGGGTCTAAAACCCTCATCTAACAACGGGCTGCATTATTCATTTCTTCTGTTGGAGACCAGTAGGTCCAAAACAAATGAAATGTATTTCTTTCTGGCTGATGGAGGTGGGTGGGGAGCAGTGTGCCTTGAACACCCAAACCTGTTTGCCCTGGCATTCCCAGGATGTATCAAATGTGCTTTGTGTGAGTAATCCAACCACTCCAAGAAAAACATATATCCAAGAGGTAAGTGGGACAACACAAACAAATTACAACCATAGTATTAATGCTCAATAAGTATTAACTATAAGTAACAGAAGTAGTAATGTTTTACTTTAAAAAACTTCCCGTGATCATAAAGTATGGCACACCCCTCCTTTTCTTAAATCCACTACACCAACTCCTTTAAGGGAGATTTTTCTCCCTTTATCGGGAAAAAAGGGTCTAAATTGCTGTACAAGGGTCTAAATTGCCTTTTTTTTTTTTTAAAGATTTATTTTTGGTTGTTGTTGCTATGCATGGGCTTTCTCGAGTTGTGGTGAGCTGGGGCTATTCTTCGTGGCAGTGTGAGGGCTTCTCATTGCAGTGGCTTCTCTTCTTGCAGAACATGGGCTCCAGGTACTGGGTTTCAGTAGTTGCAGCGCATGGGTTCAGTAGTTGTGGTGCAGAGGCTTAGTTGCCTGAGGAATATTCTTTAACCTAAGCACCAGCAGAAATTTTCAACCATTTAAGAATGGTAAAGGAGGTCTCTCTCTCTCTCTTTTAGCCGTTTCCCCTCTGTTTTGCGATATGGTTCAAAAGTAGAGGTTACTCACCTCCCCTCAATTCTGAATCAGTCACATGGGGCTAGACGGAGAATCCGGGAACATCGGGACACCAACCTGATGAATGAACAGCCCCACAACCCCTAAACCGGAGGTTGCTACCCACGAGGTCCCTTCTAGGTGCATCGTTTCTGGAGGCACAGCTCCTTTGCCCAAACCCACCAGAACGCCCCACCCTCCAAAGTCAATCAAGGCCGAGGAAGACCTCTCTCCCTTTTCTAGATCGAAAAACCCATTCTCACCACCAACTCCCCTCAAAACCTTTCCTTGCCCTTGGCGCTTAGCTCCCACGTCTCAGTCCGAAGACATCTTCCTCGCCGTCCCACCCCCAGAGCTGCCCCAGTCTCCGCACTCTCCTCCCCTCGGGGGGCGGAACGCTCACCTGCTCGATGGCGAGCTGCACGTCGGGCGTGAGCTGCAGCACGGCTTCCAGCTCTTCTACGAACTCCAGTTCCTCCTCCTCCATCATCCTGCCGCCCAGCCCCCTTCCGACGCCCACCCGGACCCGGAGCCGCACCTCCTGTGGCCACTCACGCCGGAGGACAGAAACGCTCCAGCTGCAGCGGTCCGGCGAGTCTGGGCTCTGTCAGCCAATCGGGCACTTCCGGGAAGCCGAGCACTTCCGGAATCCGAGGCACTCTGGGATAGCGGAGGACTGACCTCTGGTCGCCTGAAGGAGGCATTCCTAGCACCTCCCGAGAGTCTCCCCGAGCAGCCCTGTAGTTCGGCGGCCCCTACCTCTTCTTAAGATGATGGGAACCCGCTTCGCCTCTCAGAAGGCGCCCCCATACTCGGGCCCTGGCGCTTGGAAAGGCCGGGGAGGAGCGGGTGGTCCGGGGAGGAGTGAGGGTGCGCCCCGGCAGCGTCGCGATCGAATGACATTGACCCTCTCGGGCCTCGAGGCGGGCGATCCATCTGCTCTCAGGGGCCCCTTGCTCAGTGGCACTAGGTGTCCCCCCAGCCATCGGGGTAGAAATGACCCCAGCTGGTAAGTGGCGATGTTGCCAAGGACAATTTGTAGGATGGAAATTGCGTCCACTTGATATTAGTCCCCCGTGTGCCAAGCCTCTGGGCAGTTTTCAAGGTGTGTCTGCAGCTTCCTTCTTGAAGGGGACAGGAGGGGAGAGTCAGATTAGGCAGTGACCCACCCTGGGGAAATGCTGACTTTCTGGGACTCTTGAATATTTAGAGTCTAAGTCACAGTCCACGAATGATGAGCTGTGTAATCTTGAACAAATTACTCCATCGACCCGGCCTACCCAGCAAGGAGGTGGAGAGAGAGAAATATTAAAAGCACTATGCAAATTTAAGCTAGTAACCTAGTAATACAGGTTAGTAAGAGGGTGTCCAGCCCTCTGCACCGCAGAGGAAAAAGCAAAGTCACCCTGTGGAACCACTTTTCGTTCAGCCACAATGATATCATTGCAGCCAAAGGACGAGTTGTTTTACCTGTTAAACATTGTGAAACCAAGATGGCCCCAATGCGAAACCAGAGTCCCTGGCCCCAATGAGCTTTTTTTAATAATCAAAATTGTAGTAAAGGAAGACATAAACATATAAATCAGTTATATGCTAGAATATTATTGACTCAAAATCATGGTTTTGAAATTTAATGACATGGGAAAACACTGATAATATCAGAAAGCAAAAATACACAGCATGAACCCAGTTTGTGTGTGTATTTTGTGTCTATAAATATGATACTCCTTTTCTTCAGGCGATTCAATGTATTCTTTGCAGATTTTCCCAAATTGTCTGTGAACCTGTAACACTTTTACAAATCAGAAGTATATTTTTTAAAAGAAAATGATAATTATATCTATCTCTTGGATGTTTTTCATTTTTTATATACAGTAAGAAATATATATATATAAAGTCCATCCATTTAGTTTAGAATGCCATGAGTTTTAATGAATGCATATCATCATGTACCCACCATCATAATCAAATCCTAGAACAGTTCCATCACCGCCACCCCACCCCATCCCACATTCTCTCATGCCCCACCTACTCCCCTGGCAACCACTGGCCAGATTTCTGTCCCTATAGTTTAACTTTTGCAGAATGTCATATAAATGGAATCATACAATATGTCACCTTTTGAGTCGGTTTCTTTCACACTAACATGATGCATTTCCATTTCATCCACATTGTTGCATATGTCAGTAGTTTATTTCTTCTTGCTGAGTGGTAATCCAGTCTCTGATACACCACAGTTTCTTTATTCTCTGGTTGAAAGACACTGGGGTTGTTCCTAATTTGGGGCGATTATGAATAAAACAGGATTTTGCATGAATATAAGTTTTCATTTCACTTGGGTAAATAACCTACAAGTGGTATTGCTGGGTTGCATAGTAAGCCTGTATTTTTAACTTTATAAGAAACTGGCCAGCTGTTTTCCTAAGTGGGCTGTTATCATTTTTGCATTCCTACCAGCAATGGATGAGAGTTCTGGTTGCTCATAGAGCTTATTTTTAATGATGATTGTAATTAACTCACATTTCCTAGTCCTTACTATTTGCCAGGCACCATGATAAGTGTGCTACTGCTATGTAACCGCTAAGTCATGCCTGACCTTTTGAGACTCCATGGACTCCATAGCCCACCAGGCTCTTCTGTCCATGGGATTTCCCAGGGAAGACTACTGGAGTGGGTTGCCATTTCCTTCTCCAGGGGGTCTTCCCAATCCAGGGATCAAACCCATGTCTCCTGCTGGGTAGAGGGATTCTTTAACACTGACTCACCTGGAAAGCCCATGCCGTGTATATATAATACATCATCTCTTAATCTACACGGCAGTTCAGAGGTTGGTAGTTATCTGCAATTCACAAAAGAGAAAGTGGGGATGTAGTTAAAAACTAACAAAAAATGTGCCCCAGGTCCCATAATTCTTCCTGCCATTCATTCAGTGAACTTATTGAAAGAGTGAATGAATGTTCCTGCTGGCAATAGGCACTAGGCCAGGTGCTGAAAATCTAGCCGTCAACAAAATAAACCAAATACCTGCCTCCATGGAACTGTTTCCAGGTATCACAATCAAGAATTGTAATAGTTACATGCAAGACAAGCAAAGCATATGGTGAAAGACGATGGAGTGCTCTGACTGGATTTGAGGATCAGGAGAGGCTTCTCTGAAGAAGACTTTTAAGCTGAAGCAAAGGGTGGAGCTGTGAATAGGAGATGACAGATAAAAGGAAGAGTGTATGCAAAAGCCAGAGGATGAAGCACTTGGCCAGGGTAGGGGACTTTGACAGCCATGCGGAGAATGGAACAGGAAGAGGCCAAAGAGATGGGCAATGCCAGACAGCGGAGACTTGTGATGGTCATTTGAGGAGTGGAAAGCCTTTGAAGGATTCTAAGCAGAAGAGTGACAGGACCAGCTTCACCAGGCCTGTCATCAGCCCTGGCCCCCATTATTTTTGTTTTCTCTGCTCTGGGCAGCCCACATTGTTGGGGAGAGTTGGGGAACCATGGTGACCATCTCCAGTACTAAGTCACGCTGTCCAATTCCACTGATTGTCCTTTTACAATTCCATTGTCAACCCTCAATTGCATTCCCCCTGCAACCCAAGCCCTTTCTTACGCTGAAGCTCCCAACCTCATTACCTTCCTTCTTCCTCTTTGCAGATAAGATACTGATAATGAATATAAGTTTGCATTTTAAGAGAGTTACACAGTACAAAAGTCTAGGAAGACAAAGAGCAGAGAGATAGATGGACATTAGATGAAGAAAAATGCATTCCCTGGTGATCCAGTGGTTAAGAATCCACCTTCCAATGCAGGGGACGTCAGCTTTCTCTAGTTCTCTTGTTGTGGAGCTCAGGTTCAGTAGCAGCACAGGATGAACCGACTGGGAACAGGCGCAGTAGTTGCTGCTCATGGGCTTAGTTGCCCTGCGGCATGTGGACCCTTAACTTCCAACAAGGGATCGAACCTGTGTCCCCTACCCTTGGCAAGGAAGACTCAAGGTAGCCAAAATTAAAACAAAAAAAGAAAAAAAAATTTAAAAATTAAAAAAAAAAGAAAAGAAAAAAATAAAACAAAAAAGTAGTAACAGGCTAGACTGTTTATGATAAGCAAATGAGAGAAATATCTTTAATAGAAGGAGGAAGCCTGGAAAGACAAATTATAAACTCTTAAATAAAATACGGGCGTGTACAGATATGAAAAATTTGGCTATGAAAATAAGGAACATGTGGTGTTCTCACGAATGAACTGGGCTTATAAAAAAACAAAACAATTTCCTATAATGGAATAGGGTATGTAGCTGATGACAAAGTTATCACAGAAACATCTTTTCTACCTTGAAAGTTCACTAAATGAATAAATTCAACCTCTAATACTTAAAAAGCACAAAACCAACCTCGGAGACCTTACCCTTTAATCAGCAATGGGAAAAGGATAAAGTAGAAGAGAAGTACCACAACAGTCTGTAGGACAGTGTTGGAGTGCATCTCTGAGGATGGCATCAGAATAAAACAAAAGAAAAAAAAAGTAACCCTCCTTTCACAATGTTTCTCTTTGTGCCCAAAATGTTTAAATATATTGGCTGGAAATAGTCATTTTATTTATTATTATTATTATTTTTAGAAATAGTCATTTTAAAACAGCCTTTGTTCATGAGATCCAGTGAGATCTCTGAATTTCATGTGCCTCTGTCAATTTACTGGTTTTTTCCTAACTCTGTTAAAAGGAGTCTCCAACACCCTATGATATTTGCAACTGGTTTCATTATTTTTGAAGGAGCTGTACTATAATTAATTGAGTAGACATACTGCAGAGTGTTATTTTCTAAGATCGAAACAGTGTCTTTACGCTGTTAAGAAGGGTCTCCATAAGGACCACCTCCTGAACACCTGGGCTTTTTATGAAACTTTAAAAAAAAAATCATAGAATGGCTAAATGACATGCTTTCTACCCATTAAATGCCAGTAGCATGCCTCTCACCCCCACCCTGTGATAACCGAAAATACTCCCTGCAGATTCCCACAAATACCCGCCTTGGACCCTCAAGCACAATCACACACAGACACTTGTCACTATGGGTGGTAAAAAGCTTCCAAGCCAACTTGTAGTAGAGGCATATAGTTTAATCCCTATATTAAATCTTGTTCAAAATGTCTTTTTGGTGCTTCTTTATGCATTGCTTTAAGTGCATGACTTTTCATGAGGACAGATTTCTTTTGCTGGCATTCATTCTGGAATTTTCTGAACATCCTGGACACCGGTGTTTGTTTTTGACTGATATTCCAGTGGGCTTAGCTGGATAGACGTGCACTTAGGCTTACTGCCCTGTGGCATGTGGGCTCCTAGTTCCCAATCTAGGGATTGAACCCACATCTGCTGCCTCAGCAAGGAAGAGCCAGCGCAGTCAAAATTAAAAAAAAAAAAAGATAAGTAACAACAGTCTACACTGTTTATGATAAGCAAAAGAGAGATATAAAAATACCTTTAATAGAAGGAGGAAGCCTGGAAAAACAGATTGTAAACTCTTAAGATAAATAAAATATGGAAGTGTACAGATATGAGAAATTTGGGTATAAAAATAGGAGTGTTCTGTTTCCATATCCTGGACACCCAGTTTTGTTTTGATTGGTACTCAGGTTCTCCGTGCATGCCCATTCTTGCTAAAGCGATTATAATCTCCACCTAGCTTCAATAGTTCCTCTGTTCCCACGCTGGTAGCTCAGGATCCAGTCACATCTATATACCAGCTCCCGGATACTTTTATATTAGGACCCTTCCCCATTGGCTACATCGAGTTCGGAGTAATTCCTTCACTCAACAAAGTGCTAATCACACAGGTGAAAGTCTCACATATTACAACAAATATAAACACTTGTTTTATAAAATTGACTTTAGTACAACTATTATAATGTAGCTACCATTAATTAATGTGTCTGACACCCTCAAGTTTCTCACAATGCCAGGGTCACTTCCTGCCCTCATTTCGTGCTGTCTTCTTGCTGTGTTCTGTTGCATTCCCTG